GGCTGGGTAGAGGGGGGGGCAGGAGCGGGGCTCCTGGGTTCTTTCCCCTGGCGCTGCCAGTGAGGCAGCTCAGTCGTTTCTGGGCCTATAGGGGAAGGCTGCTTGGTCCCCAGGTGCTTTGGGATCCTCCTGTGCAAGGCCCAATGCGGGGCTCAAGGGTCCCGAAGTTTGCTGGGCTGACTTTGTGCGCAGCCAGCTCAGTCGTTTCTGGGCCTATAGGGGAAGGCTGCTTGGTCCCCAGGTGCTTTGGGATCCTCCTGTGCAAGGCCCAATGCGGGGCTCAAGGGTCCCGAAGTTTGCTGGGCTGACTTTGTGCGCAGCGGTGCCTCTGCCAGGGGCAGTTCCCTCGCTCCTGGGCTGGTGGGAAAGCTGGGAGCAAGCTGTCTGGCAGCGTGTGTTTCGCTAGGGGCTGCCAGATTGCTTTCCCACACTGCAGCTTGTTCTGTTGACCACAAGTGTCAGACTGGATCAGTCAAAAGTCTCTTCTGCTATGTCTTGTCCAGGGCAAGCTGAAGACTAGAGAGCACTACTGTCTTTTGCACACTCTTGGGTAGAAACATAAAATCTCATTTAATTAGTTAATTATTCAGGTTAACTGATTAGCTGCGGGGAACAGCCCTCTGCCTGCCCTGACCAGGCTAGAGAGGTCTTGCCTGCAGTGTGTCTGTGCCCGGCCTAGCCTATTGTGGATGGGGACCGCTCCAGCCAGGCGGGAGTACCCACCACCTGCAGGACTGGAACTGCCCCCATTCACACCCCTACTTTGAGTAGTGGGAAGGTATAGGTAGATGTAGCATAAATAGAAGGCAATTGTCATGCGTTCTAGTACTGCATGAGTTGAATTAATCTAATTTTCCTCGTAAGTATTGTTGTCCATCTGCTCTTTTGTATTAGAACGTACAACAAATAATTCCAGGGCAACATGGCGTTCTACAGCTGTAACATACTCCTTGCAATAGCCAGGTCAAGGTAAGAAAACAAAGGCTTATTTTTAATTTTCTATGTAAAAGTCTTGGTTTTTCTAGTACTTTTGCATCTTTAATGGTCTGCAGTATATTTAAATGGTAGCTGCTTGTGTGTAAAATGTTTCAATAAAGCTTTGTCTGATAAGGGCCTGATAAAACTGTTGCCATGGTGATGGTTAATTTCTTCAGGTGCTTGAGGCTTTGTTTTATTGCTGGGTCATTGTAAGAAGTGTATGCAGCAATTAATTTTTCATTCAAAACAGGCTTGCTATTGTAAATGAGGTTGAGAGGTGAAGCCAAATGTTTAATCTTAGTTTGAGAGAGCGTTCCGTCTACTGAATTGATTTTTTTGCAGCTGGTTAAATGTCAGAATGAAATGGAGGTATTTGATTAGAAAGGCTCTGGCAGTTGTTGTAGTACATACTAATGTAACACATCTTATTCCTGTTACATTATGATATTTTATTTTATATAAGCCTTCTTTCCCTGGTTATCTTAATATGTTGTGCTTCTTTGGGATACCGTGGTATCACATTACGCAAATTGGTAATATAAGAATACAAGGAATGTTCCAGGAACAATCACATCACCATAGCCATGCTAAGGTTTTGTTTTTTGTGTTTTGTTTTCTCTTCGGCTGTGATTGGATAAACTTCTATCATAACCATTAGTAGAATGCTGGCTTCTTAGAAATGGGCTGAAGTACTGAGTTGCTCTTTTGAGAGGACAGCTCATTAGCTAACTAGAATAATGCAAAAACTGGATGTTTCATCTGCCAGCTAAAATCTGCTCCCACATACTGGGCAAGTCTTTCAGTAGGCTGTGTATGGTCAATTGGGAGCAAGAATGTTAATTCAAATGGAAATGGTTAACTTTTTGGTAATTAACTACAGCAGGGAATTACATGCTTAAAATAATTGGCTCTTCTCCTCAGTTTCAGAGTCCCTCACCTTCTTGTGCACTCCAGCTGTTCTCCATACTCTCCATCAGTTGCATTTGTCCAGCAAGTGGATTCTCATTTACACAGAAGTTACATGAGAGACTCTGAAAACCAGCAGTTACTGTACAGCCCACAGCTGGCCCATGGACTACCTCACCTACGAACTAAAGCAGTGCGAACATTGCACACATCTGCCTACTGGCATCAAGAGCTTCAAGAGAAATCTCAGCTGCACCAAAGCACAATAAATCAGGACACTGAGCGTGCTAAAGCTGTATCCGACCACAGCACAGAGACTAGTGTGGGGAAAAAGTCTTTACGCCAGAGAATTGTAGATGAACTGAAACATTATTACAATGGATTCCACTTGCTTTGGATTGACACAAAAGTCGCTGCCAGGATGGTATGGAGGCTGCTACATGGTCAGATTCTCACTAGGAGAGAGAGGCGAAGGGTGAGTATGAACAACCCGTACATGGACACACTGGGGCTCACTTGATATGCTGATGTGTCGAATATTAAGGTAACCAAAGAAAGCAGTCTGTTTGGCTTCCAAACATTCTTTGAATAGAGGTCAAATGTGGCCATCTCGTCAAACCTTTCATGTGCATTTTAATGCTTGTAAAAGGATAATAGTTCAACAGCCCGGGAGACTGAGATTCTCCATAACTAGTACAACACGAGGAGTCCTGTGGCATAAGACTAACCGATTTATTTGGGCGCTTTGTCAGATGGAATGTATCTGACAGTGGTTTTTACCCCTGAAAGCTTATGCCCAAATAAATCTGTTAATCTTAAAGGTACCACGGAACTCCTTCATTGTTTTTTGCAGATACAGTCCTGGCTACCCCCTGAGACTTAGGCCTGCTGGGTTCTGCCAAGGGCCCTTACATTGGAAGAACCCCTCTGAAATGAGAGGAGCATTCAGTCTCTGTGGCCCACCAGTTCTTGCAAGATGTTAGACAGGTGGGATGATTGCTGAGGCACTTCAGAAGTGGACGGAGCTGTTGTTTTAAGTACACAGGTGCAGTCGTAAAAGCTCTATTCATTCCAGAGCCCAAGTGATAAGTCTTTAGTTTAGATACCATGCTGGTAAACACGCTGGTTATCTAAAATGAGTGGCAAAACTTGTACTAGAGTGCCTGTGAAAAGCCTTAATTATTGGCCCCAAGCTAGGTTTTCTTTTATGTCTGTCCAATGAAAAATAACCTTTGCTGTGCCTTTCTGCAGCTACTGAGGACATGTGCTGATCTCTTCCGACTGGTTCCCTTCTTGGTGTTCATCATTGTGCCCTTCATGGAGTTCCTGTTACCTGTGTTTCTAAAACTCTTTCCTGAAATGTTGCCCTCAACTTTTGAGACTGAATCAAAAAAGGTTTGTGTACCGGGCTGTTGAGAGAGCAGCCTCCATTAACTTGGATAACAGATGCAATCCTAGAAGTATATTAGGATAGCAGCTAACCAGAGCCATGCTGCTAGAAGCTGAATTAACATCCTGCCATGATGAATTATTGTTAGTGCTCATCAGGAAATAGTAAGGTTAAGCAAGTGTAGAAAGATTGGTCTAGTCAGTGGAAAACCTGGGTTCAATTCTTTGCTCAAGTGTGACCTTGGCTGAGTCACTTACTCTACCCTGTAGCTCAGTTTGTTCGTTCTTCATTTTTAGGGGATAATACTGTGAGGCTAAAATCCATGAATGATTGTGAGGCACTTGGATATTCTATTGATTAGGGTCAGAGACATGGATCACTTGAAGGGGTCTGCAGCAAGGTTACTTAGTTACTCACTGAAGACTAGCATAGTACACGAGAAATAAAGGGTTTAAGGAGTATCGTCCCCAGAATGAGCTGTTTTCTCTGTCTTGTTTCCTCTTCCCTCCGCCAATTTCTTTTTCATCCTTAGTCGTTAGAAGGTATGCTTTTCCTCCTTCTTCAGGATCTGCCCTGACATAGATCCCTGTGCTGTGTCTGGTAGATGGCCACTAAAAATTCTTAGGATTATTTTAATCGGGTGCGTCTTATCACTCAGGCAGAGCAATAAGTCAGACATACCGTGCTGAGAGTGGGAAGGCAGGAGCTAAATACTGTTTAGTTTTCACTTCACCAACATTTTGATTAGATCCTTGAGAGGAGATTGTGGGCCAAGATGCTAGCGTCACACGTGGACAGTTTCCATTGACTTCCATGAGGCTTTCCCGTATGTCCCAAAGCAACATTTGCCCTTTACTCTTCAACCAAAACCACCTGAAGCCATAAAGTTCTACATGGCCCATTATTTCTATCAATTTCCCAGCCCTTGTCAGTATCCTATAGCTGGGGTGTTGTTTGCCCACTACCAGCTCATTCCTTTATTAGTTTATTTATTAGTTCCCATAATAGAAGAACTAGAGGACACCAAATGAAATTAATGGGTAGCAGGTTTAAAACTAATAAAAGGAAGTTCTTCTTCACACAGCGTGTTGTCAACCTGTGGAACTCCTTGCTAGAGGAGGCTGTGAAGGCTAGGACTATAATAGAGTTTAAAGAGAAGCTGGATAAATTCATGGAGGTTAGGTCCATAAAAGGCTATTAGCCAGGGGATAAAATGGTGTCCTTGGCCTCTGTTTGTCAGAGGCTGGAGAGGGATGGCAGGAGACAAATCGCTTGATCATTGTCTTCGGTCCACCCTCTCTGGGGCACCTGGTGTTGGCCACTGTCGGCAGACAGGATACTGGGCTAGATGGACCTTTGGTCTGACCCAGTACGGCCGTTCTTATGTTCTTTTGCAGCCGATAATAGCTGAAATCTGGGTCCTTTATTTCTTGCTGCTGTGCCTGATACTCATCCACGCATCTGTTCCATCACATCTTCCCAGCTGTTGACTGCACCCAGCACTGTAAATCTCTTCAGCCTTGCCTACCTGTGCACCTGGCTCAAATGTTCTTGCTCCAAGTGGGCTCACATATGCAGAGCTACAGCAGAATTTGAAGCTTGCTCTCCTATGGCTCAGAGTGGCTACATGCAACACAGCGAAGACTTTAAATAAAGGATACAACCCTCCTATAGCTCACCTCTTGCCTTTTTCTCTCTTTGCTGATCCATGTTTTGGCTTTTTTTAATCAAAATTTCCCGAGTGATTAGTGCCTGGCAGAATGTGGTTCACGTTATCAGGTTTTGCTGCAATTTCAGTACTATGGGTTTGTGTAAATTGTCCCTTATGTGGCCAGTCCAGTGCAATGTGCTTCCTACAGCTATGATCAAGCCAGTGTTAGAGAGACACTCCTGACTTCAAACCATGTGAATTTAAAGCACTCTTTGGATGCAAAAGATATACCAATGATGCAACCTCTGTTGTTAACCATAGGAATCCTGGAGCGTCGTCATCCACTAATCCTAGCTCAAAATCTAGGCTTACTCTTGCTTTTGCACACAATATAATAAAACTTTATTTCTATGAAGAATATTCAGTAAAAAAACTTGTATTGATAGCATCTCTCTAGCGAGTGGGACTGAAACTGACCTGTAGTTTGGTTGTCCAAGCCAAAGTGCCAAGATTAGTCAGCAGTAGTGTTGAAAAGTAAGTTAGGTTTCTGGAAGTGTTGGGGTAGTTAATCAAGGCCTTCAAAGTAACAAAGGGAAGGAAACTTATCCCACCCTCCTTTCCCCTGGAGTTCCAGTTGACCCTCTAACTACTTTTTATCTCCCAAATTAAGGAAGAAAAACAGAGAAAGAAATTAAGTGCGAAATTGGAGCTTGCGAGATTCCTGCAGGAGACGATTGCGGAAATGGCCAGAAGAAACAAAGCTGATACAGGAGAGGCCACCAAGCAGTTCTCTTCCTATGTGCAGCAGGTACAGCACATAGTAAAATAAGCTGGAGAGGCTAAGAAAAGTATCTGCCGTCCAGTGTAGCAGGATGACAAGGTGGGTGGATACAAATCCACAGGGCTTGACAAACAACGGCAAAATCTACTCGCCAGCTCCACATTGTGCATGCGTGTGCCGCCGGTGAACAGGGCGACCGGCTGAAATCTACTTGCCACGGGCGAGTAGAAACAGTGATTTGTCAAGCCCTGCAAATCCATACTCGCTTACCTCCAGGCTCCAGAGCCTTCAAAGTTGTACAGTCTGCAAAGCAACCTTGCAAAATAGATTCAGAGATAAATTCTCATCCACCTTCCAGCATGTGTGAAGTGTTTGTTTCTATACAGGTTACGAATCAAAATATTGCTGTTTAAACCAGCCTGTGGACTGTAACTGCACTGGTCAGCTTATCTGACATGCTCAGGATCAGAGAAGCTGCAATTCCTTGATTACAAGTTTCAGTGGGTGGCGATGGTCTGTTTTAAAACGAATGCTAAATGGAGGAAGAAAATTGTGCCTGTCCATCAGTCAAAGAGCTGCAGCCATTGTGCCCACTGTTGAAACTTAAAACCTGGCAGAACCTTGCTACCAGGCATGTATAAACACTGAGGGTTATTGGTAAACTGATTTCCCTGTTGTGGCCACTGCCCTGGGAAACCAGGGGAACTTGTGCCCAACTAGTGTGTTTATCTTTATCTTCATTCTTATTTTAACCAGCAGAGAGAAAAACCTTTCGCCACTTAAACTTCCTTATGCAAAGTCTCAGAGCATCCTAGAAACAATCTTCTGTTTTCAGACCCTGGACTTTATTGGCTACCAACAAAAACCCTGACGTGACATGGCTGGGGGGGAGTGTGAGAGTGAGGACTGGATCCAGGTGGCCTAGTTTCTGCTTCTAGCTCTGCCAGTGGCTGCTGAGGAACATCCTAGCTGATGCCTTAGCTTTGTCGTGCAGGTTCGTCATACAGGCCAGCAGCCCAGCACCCAGGAGATCGTGCGCTTCTCCAAACTCTTTGAGGATGAGCTGACTCTGGAGCACTTAGAACGGCCACAGTTGGTAGCCCTCTGCAAGCTGCTCGAACTACAGCCCATTGGCACCAATAACTTGCTGCGCTTCCAGCTTTTGATGCAGCTCAGGTCTATAAAAGCAGATGATGAGGTAAGAGACTAAACCAAATAGCACAGACTCGGTGTGATCTGATGATTAGTACAGGCACCTGGATTCTATTCTGGTTTTGCTAGTTACTTCCAATGTTCCTTCTAACTCTTTCCATCCATGTGTAGAATAACTTTTATGTGCACCAATGCATGTGTGGATGTGGACCACTTGTAGGCACACATGCTACGGGCACTGTGGGTGCTCCATTATACGGGTGTGCAGCATTTGAATCTCTCCTGGGTGGCCACCTGACCCGCTCAGCTTTCAGGGAACATTGGTAATTTTCCCTCTCTGAGATGCTGTTTGCTTCTCTGATACTATAGGTGTGTTGCTGCCCATGTGATTGGGGAGGGGTGATTCTTACTGTTTTATAATCGGGTTATCCTATGAGCGGCTCTGAGGAAGTAGAGGGTTAGTAATTGAGCCTTCCAGTGCCTTCTATTGGGTCTACTGAGGAACACGTCTCAGATGACTCAGGGTGGGTGTTCAGAATTAAGGTGGTGGCCTCCTGGGGTCTCAGGAGCCTGTAGCAGTGAAAAATTGCAAAGCCCCGTCTCTTGTGCTACTACAGTTTTGTCATGCCTAGTTCTAGAGGAACTTTGGGCCGTTACTGCTGTAACTAGTGATCTGAATTCAGGGTGCAGTTGTGCCAAATTCATTCCTGTCACTGTCTGAGCTTGGGAGCATGGTGCATGAGGAAATCTGGCACTATCATGAGCCATGAATGAAGACTCCGAGGGCTTTTTGTTAATCGGCTACGTCCCAGCTCCTGGCTGCGTCAGACTTAAGCATATGTGATAGACCAATTTTTACAAATCCAGCCCTGAAAATCTTTATGCCTGTGAGTTAAGTTCCCTGTGAGTGGCTGCTCTGCAGTTCTGTAGGAGCCCCCAGGAGCGTGGAGTTTCTCATGTGTAAGCACTTGGAGGATCAGGCTCAATTTTAGCTGTTCAGCATGCAGCTAGGCAGTCGGGAATGGGCTGTCTGCTGCTGAATCCCAGTTCTGTTCCCTTCCCTCCTGGCACTAGCAGGGATTGACTTGTTTGTTCTTTGCTCCCCTCTAGTACAAGCTTGCAGCTCTGTGCTGCCGGCCGTAGTGAATGAACTAGGGTTTGCGCTTTAGGAGCCCTGGCTGTGACTGTCCCTTTCCCTTGCAGATGATCGCTAAGGAAGGTGTCGGTGGGCTCAGTGTGTCCGAGCTGCAGAGTGCGTGCAGGGCCAGAGGCATGAGGTCACTGGGGCTCACCGAGGAGCAGCTGAAAGAACAGCTCAGCCAGGCAAGTAGGGCCTTGCCCACTCCTGAAGTCTTGGAGTGCTGCAGCCTGGATGTATACGGCCCTTAAAGGGGCCATGCTCAGTCTTCAGCCAGACCGGCTTTGAGAGCTGATCGGTCTTGCCCTGAACATTCACACCGCTGTCTTGTAACGGATCCTCGTGTGCGCGGCCGACCTGCACGACAAAGCATGTTGCTGGTGCTAATGCCCAGTTGAAAAAGATGGTGGCTGATGAGCACTGCGTGCGTGTACCTGTCAAGGCCACAGCACCCCAGGGGTTACTTAGGCGGCTGGAGCAAGGAAGGCCTTGCATGTGTAAGAGGGCAGTGCTGGGGCAGATAAGACATTGGAACTCGTCTGTATAGGGAATCGCAGATTCCAAGGTGAGAAGGGGCCGTTTGTGAGCCGCTAGTCTGTCCTCCTACAAAACGCAGGCCAGAGAATGCCCCCACAATAATTCCCGGAGTAGATCTTTTAGAAAGAGATCTGCATTTCTTTAAACATTGCCAGTGTTGGTGGCACCCCCACCTCGCACTGCTGGAACTCTGAACTGGGGAGGGGGTCTTATTCCTCAGTGGTCAGGGCTGCCATTGCCACTGCTAGATACAATATAAAGTGGCAGCCTGAACACTTAACAGCCCTATTGCCACAGGAAAATCAATGCCAGTCTCGCAGTCCCCAGTAGCTAACCTGCGTTCCTCAACTTCCCCTCCAGCTTCACCGTGTGCCGTCGTCCTCGCTGCCCTTTGAAACTATTTATTGCTGCTGTGAGCTGGTAAACAGCTGCTGCCTTTCACCTCTGGAACTAGGCTGAACCTTGAGCAGCGTGATCTCCAGAGCTCTTCCGGAGAACAAGTGCTAAAGGATCGTCTGTGAACTGATGTTTAAACAGCTGAAACTGAACCAGTTCTAATCA